ACCGCAATGCGCATCCCCGCCGGTGCCGGCATCCAAACAGGGCCTGGCGGGGGGCGGCGGCTAGCTCCTAATTCCCCGGTGCACGGGAGGTCCCATCGCCCTCTCTGGGGAGCGGAGCCCTCAGTGCCCTTGGACGGGGAAGGGCTGATCGCGAAAAAAAAAAGTTAAAAACCCGCTTTTACAGAATTAACATCCCACCCCCTTTCGGGGTAAACCCAGACATGCGGGAGGGCAGGGAGAGCGCCGGCGGACCGCCGCGCCAGGCTCTGAGGGTTCGGCGTCTCGTGGGGTTGGGTTGATCGATTTCGCCTTATTTTTGGTTACAGGCCCCAAGGCATTCAGCCGCCAGGGGTTTTGAGCACCCGGCCGAGCCTGCGGAGGGAAGAGCAGGGCATCCTTTCGCATCTGATGCTGCGGAAAGGCCTTGGCCTCATGCAGGGAGGCCTAAGCTGTGCATGCACACACGTGCCGCAGGCAGAACAAGGTTATGCTGGCAGGCAGGGCTCAGTGAACACATTGGAATTAGCGGGGGACTACTGATTGTCGGTTATACCGATATCAGATTATTAGCACTCACCCACGGTACAGCGCTTTACCTCGGACCTTCTCTCCCTCTTTCCTCCCCCCCTCCCCATCCACGACTGATTTGGATCTGACTTCAGAGCCCCAAATTGGTACCGAGCGGCAAAGACCTCTCACTCCCACAAGCTGAAGGAGGGAGGAATAAACCCTGTAAGGAGCCAACTTACCCCCTCCACTCTGCCAGGAAGAACAGAAGTGTTGCCATCCGTGCCCAGTACCACGGTGCTCTGGCTCAAGGTCACCCAGGTGCCTTTGGCGTTGTTTTGCTCCAGTGTGCTCTTACCAAGGTTTAGATTTGCGTCCCCGTCTGTGCTTTGCAAGGCGGGAATTTTGCAGTGAGGGATAGCAGCTTGCCCGGTGGCCCCAGGGGTGTGCTTGCATGGAAAGGTGTCCACAGATTCCCTCCGGAGGGTAGAGTTGGCTTGCACTGGGGTGCTGCTGAGCTTGCAGATCCCGACTTTGGTCCTCTCAAAATCATTTGGTTTAGCTTCTTCAGAGGGAAATGTTTTGTTGTCGTTAGAGAGGGATCGGGGTAGCCTGGCCATCGTAGCGGGGGCTTGCGGTGGGGCATTCTGTGGCTCATTTTCGGGGCTGATTCTTACAATTCCCGTACCTTCATTGGGCCCAGGAGCAACAGCTTCAGGACTGTTCACGACCTGCTTGCTCATATCCCTTTGACTGTCGTAATCCTAAAATGACAACGTCACATATTTTACCAAAAGGGGAAAAAAAAAGGCTGGGACTGCAGAGATTCTATGAATATCCTTCCTTGTGCACAAAATGCGTGCACTAGAAAATCTGGATACAAAAGCGTTGCAGAATTTCAAGGAGCCCCAACTCGCCTGCTTGCCCTCTCATTCAATGTTAATATTCTGGGGGAGAAAACAGTAAGATACACAAAAAACTCAAACCAAACAAGCAACTGCACCAGCATCTGCAAGCCCGTAATTCCAGTTTAAATAAGTGTTTCTACAGCACTGCGCCGCCAGACCTCGTTAGATTTCACATCACGACTGTAGGATGCTCCCTTCCCTATCACCAGTGTAGAAAGATTCTTTAATTTTACGCCCCATTTCCTTTCTGTCATTCAACAATGCACATCAGCTTTTTTTTTTTTTTTAATATATATAGGCAATAGACAAGCTGCCCTGTAGGCAGCCAGAAATGTTAAAAAACAAGCAAAATAGTGCTGGTGAGCATTTCTGAACTGGCTGCCACCCTTCAAAACCCGACAGTGAAACGCAAAAATAACCACACCACCGCAGCAGAATCAATGCCAAGAACAGCTAGCTTTCTGTTCTTTTTCTTATGTTTTCGACTTGCACACCTCTAAGGATTTTTTTTACGCATTGCTGTATTCATTAAACAGATTATTGATGACACACACATGCACACACCGCCTTTCCCTCCAGTTTAAAATTATATTTTAAAATGCATCTTCTTTTTCTACCTTAACCAACCCGCAGGCAAACCCTACCTTTCCCGTGCGTTTACTATTAGCTTTACAAATACACCTTCTTTTTTGGAAGAAGATTGCACAGAACTACCCAACGCTGTTTCCGCTGCAAGTTTTCTCTTCGTCTTAATCCCATCTCCCCGCGTCAGGGGTGAGACCCGCAAGGACGCGGGCGCTACCCGAGTGCACTTGGGGGTACCAGCGTTGCCCCCGCTCCCCGTTCCCCGGCGTTCCCCCCGCCCCGCGGGAGGCTCCCCGCGCTGGCTCCGCCGTCAGCACCGCGGAGAGCTCCGTCAGCACCGCGGAGAGCTCCCCCTCCGGCACCGCTTCCCTCCCTTCAGCCCTTTTCAACGCCAAAGAAAAGAAATCAAGCACTTACCATGTCTTAAAATCGCCACAGATTGACTGGATCGAGGTAAAACCAGCAGTACAGGCAATTGGCAGACTGGATTTTGCCCAGTCCACAGCAAAGCTTTCTATACTTCCTTGGGAAAGACTGGGTTTGCGTCAGTGCATAGCAAGGTGCCCTTCCTTTGACATTTTCTTGATAATAAGAGTTTGATAAATCATTACCCTTGGTTTCAGATTTTAAAGGGACAACAAGAAGCCAGAGCGCCGGCTAGCTGTCACTCACGCGGCAGTGGGATTGCGTGTTCCCTGTGACTCATATGGGGGCTGATTACTAAACCAAACCCAGCAAGAGCACGGAAGAACTTTCTTGCTGGTAATTAGAGGGAACATGTGAGAAACACGTACTACTGCACCCAAAGCAGGAGAGGATTAGGGAGAAACCTTCCGTTTCTATCCCTCTCCCCACAGCTTATATATATATATGAAAATTATATATTTATACATATATCCGCATATCTATATATTGTGTATAAAGTACACAAACACATTTTAATTGTGTCGTCCTTATTCTCCTTGCGCCAGACAACACTATACCGTCTATTTTTACCGTGCCTCGTGGGGAGGAACCCTCAGTCTCAATTAAATTAAAACGATACACACAATAAAGCAATCTTCTCTTTCATCAAAACTATCTTAAGAGCAGTTAAGGGGGAGCAAAGATGACGGCAACCGCAGTCAA